AGGAAATTAACAGAGGGGGGGTCAGAACGGATACAAATAGCAACAGAGTGGGAAACAACAGCGAGAAAGATGTTGCACATGCTCTTACCTAGATCATATCCTCGATGTATGATGTTCTTTGCAATCTGGAAGGCGAGCAGGAGATTACGAGGATCCCTCTCACCATCCATTGACTGAACAAAGCCAAACACAAAGTCTGCCCCTAAACCCTTCAGCTCTGTGGATTAATCAAAAAAATGATTAGTTTTGTTAAATAGATGGGAGAAAGCCTTTATTGGAGAGTGGTGACAAATTTCCGACGAGGGAAAGGCCGCTGAGGTGAAGGAATCACATCACCAAAGTACCACTTCCTCAGAATCTAAGGGAAATTGTTAGAATGTTGAGTATAAAGCTGCAACTCTGTTCAGGTTTGGTAAGTCTAACAAAGAACTACCAGGTGAAAAACCTGCTGTCTCTTACCGGCCTCTCTGGTCTCCATGAGGTTGATGAGCATGCTGTAGACGCACGCCCTCTCTGCCAGCATCAGAGACTAGAGAAAAATAATCAGAACATATAAATCATTTACCCACAATGCTTAGACTCAAGAACAATCGAGAGCGTTTTGTGAAAAGTGCCTTGGACCAACATTTTTTTGAACCGTGGATCTGTTTGTTTGGATAGTTCACTTTTGGGCTAATTGCAGGAAGTTGAAACTGCATTAAACAATAGATGAAAAAGAAGCACATGCAGGTTGCAGTCTTTGCATCAGACACTAAGTCCCTTGATTTTAATGGTAATATCATCTAGAAACCAATCCATGACAAGAAAACCCATGTAGGTGATGACAACAGAACTCACATACGTCATATCGAATTCTTCAGTGTGCTCCCTAAATTTTTAACAAAGCTAACCAGATAAGGTGTAAATAATGTGACAAGGACAGTAACTGTCGGACTGTCAGGTGTGAAAACACCTAGATTATTTAACTTTACCCACAAAGCCTAATGAAGAGGAAGTGTTTTGCAGAACACAGAGGAAACAAGAAGCATCACACTCGATAAAGTGTGGTGAGATATTGCACAGGTCTAAATAAACAGAGAGATGCAGTTCAGAATCAAAGAACACACACCAAACATGTTTAGATATAGTTTAAATTAAAACTGCTTGTTACAAATCTTTAATATAACATAATACTGAATCTCACCTGTACGTGAACATCCTGAAACAAAGACCTCAGCATGGACACAGCTGAGCCAGGAGGCAACGCTGCACATTTTGTCTGGAAAAAGCACAAACACACAATGTGCATGTTGGTCTCCGCTGTCACATCTGGAACTTTTTAAAACTATTATCCAACTTTCCAGTGTAAAAAAAGTGATTCATCTCATGCAAGATGTTTCAGATGTTGTTGTCGATAAAAATCTATCGCATACAGACACTCACCAGAGCTCTGAGCCCCTGTAGGACAGAGGGTGTGATGACGTAATGGTCCTTTAGGCGGTTTTCATAGAAAGCAATCAGCACTTCCACTATGGAGAAGAGGAACAGGGAGATATGCTGTCAAAATATCTCTTGGTTTTGCATCCAATGTTTATATGATATATTATTATGATGGTTTGAAAAGGCCCTTATGAAGAGAAGGGAATTAATGAATCTTAAAATCCAGAAAAACAACCAAAGACTATGTAAGAAAGACAGAATGATTAAAACAAAAGGACAGAAAATAAGTGCACCTTCTCTCTCTGTAAGATTTCCATAGCACTCATGCAAAACCTCAGACAGCAGCTGGACTCCTCTGGCTCGAGTGTGAGGCTGAGAGCTCGTCAAGCTCAGTCTGCAATGGCGGTCAGAGGGAAATGAAGAAGGAGAAGGAAATGAAAGTGACAAGTCTGTGATATTAAAGTTACTTTTTAACACAGTGAAGTGTAACTACTGTTAACAGCATAACAACTATGTTAGAATCTTAGAACATTAGAGTAAACATGTTCTGATACAAGCAATTAAAATGCCTCTGATACAGAAGAAAATTCCAGGCATTGGTGAGTATGCAAATCTATGTACCGATCTTTAAAGTGTATTCGTTTCACCAAGATAAAACTGCAATTTTACTTGGACTTGAATTCTTCATGTGATTATTTTTCTCTATTTTTTGACATGTCTTCCAATTAGCACCAGTGGTTTGAGGGAGACCCATAGCACTCCTGCCACCTCTCTTTTGAAGGCATTAATTACTTTAAAATATTTGTTATTTATTCATAGATTCATTTAGTTATGCTATTGCACTGTTTTATACAGCTATATACTGTTTAAAACTTAAACTTTTATTTTCATAAACTTTAACAGCCACTTACAAAGGCAGTAATTTGCTGTGCATTCCTAGATTGATTGATTTATGATCATTTCAGTTATGACACTCAAACTAGATAAGAAAAGTAGTTCAATAACATTCCTTATCTGTGTGTTTGTCTTCTTAGCCGTTTAACCCGAGTCAGGCTACACAACAACGATTGCAATCCATACAGGGTTAGTAGCAAACAGCTGTTTTATTATTTGTTTTTTAAAACCCAGTGGTAAGTGATTGGTACTTGGTATTAGCTGATATAGAAAGTACAGGTATCAATATCGGTAAGGGAAAAATTGTATATCGGAACATCTCAAATATCAAGCTGATGTTGTCCAGAAGTGATATCTGGCTAATTGTCATAAGTGTCATGTATTAGAAACCACCACAGACTGCAGAACGCAGCAGCCGGTGGTTCTGGATCAGGAGAAAAGACCCCAACTGGGACAAACACCCGGGTCTGATCAGCCTGAGGTGGGGGTGCTATAGTAAAGGAAGCTGTGTCCCTAACATCCTCTGGTGATCCCTGACTTCTGCTAGTGGTTATTATCAAACTAGTGCAGGAAGAAGACCCTGAAACGTGCAAGGGATACAAGAACTCTTGAGTTTATGTTCTTGTCATGTCTGTGCTGCTCCTGAGGAGGTTGTCAGCTCACCCCAGCGCCTCCACCAGCTGCAGGACTGTGAACTTTCCATCTTTGACACCTGAAAATAAAACCAGGATTAGTGGGATCGCCATCAACACACAGTCACCTCACAAAACCACTGACTTGTGAAACACGAGTGTCGGTGAAGTTATCTGTGCTTGTTACCTACAGAGGTCAAAGTTACAGAGTTCACTGACGGGATGTTTCCACACGGACACAAACACGGCAGCTAGCGAGCGGCAGCATGCGGTCAAACACCAGCGGGGCTAGCGTTCAAATCCACAGCGATCGAGGACTGACAGTGGAATAATAAAGCAGGTCTGCATTCAGATCGCGCCGGCACAGTGGAAAAGTGAGCCGAGCCGTGTCCTGACGCGTGTTTGAAAGTGTCATGAGGTCGCAGAGACACACAGGATGTTGTTAGCTCCTCGAGCATCACGCCGTGTGGAAGCACTCAATGGCTTCTGTGGCGGATATTCCACAGCGAGCTGTTGTGCAGAGTGAATTGCAAACTTATATGCATGTACGTATACACTTATTTACCTGTCGCGGTGTCTTTGGCCTTGCTGTCCTGAAGTCCTGAGACAAATTCCTCCACCAGAGACAGCAGCAGGGAGCTGTCCGCGGCCATCGTGCCCCTGACGCTCCGCGGCTACGGCTGCGCATGCGCCAATGTGGAAGGCGAAAACTCAAATGTTCAGCACCATTCATACACAAGGCAAACAACACTGAAGCGTTGAGATTAAACTGATTCACCTTTAAAAGACAGCACAATAGTTTTCAACAAAAGAAAAATAAATAGTTGAGTGTGAGTTTATGAGGAAGCTGCAGTAAAGAACAACGTTTTCAGCCCTGATTTGAATGATCTGAGAGTTTCAGCAGACCTCAGGTGTTTGTTCCAGGTGGGGGAGCATAGATGCTACTTGACCCTTCACACTGAATCAAGCTGTACCTGAGGACCGGAGGGGTCAGAGCCAACAAGTAACATACATGTATTTAGGCCCGAGACCATTCAGTGCTTTGACAAGTAGTGCAATTTTAAAATGGATTCTTTGAGACACAGGAGGCCAGTGCAGGGATTGAAGGGCCGGTGTGATATGGTCCATTTTCCTGGTGTTGGTTAGGACTCCTGCAGCAGCATTCTGAACGAGCTGCAGTTTCCTGATTGCTCTTTTGTTAAGACCTATGAAGAAACCATTACAGTAATCTAACCTACTGAAAATAACTGCATCAGCAAGTCTTTCAGAAATCCCTTGATTCTTCCTATATTTTTGAGGTGGTAATACACTCATGTAGTAATCATCCTTATGTGGTTGTTGAAATTCAAGTCAGAGTAAATTATTACACCCAGATTTGTTTTTTTGGTGTCATGGAGTAGAGGTGAGCACTGAGATCCAATAATGCCATGACTGAAGTTTTGGATGCATCATTGTTCAGTATGTAATTTTAATAATAATAATAGTTTAATAAGTGCAGTCTTGGTACTGTGCTGTGGTCGAAATCCAGACTGAAAAGCACTGGAAATGTTGTCTTGCACCAAGAACGTGCACATTTGCAGAAAAACCATGATCTTTCCCAAAAGTATTTTCTTAACGATGATTTTTAACAATTTAATATTGTTATGCATCTATTTATTCGTTATTGAAACATACAGCAGACTCAAGGTTTTTATAATGATTAATATTTAGTTTTATTATTCTGACATTTGATTTATTGTGCTTATTTATTTGGTATTTTTTAAACGAAGCTAAATGTTGAGACGGAAACCACAAGTTTCTGGTGCTGCTTTCAAGTGCTGGCGGAAACAAACACATTTCACAGAGTACTACCTAAATAAAGTCTGCCGGTGTCCCCAGTTTGTCCACTTACTGAAGCAAAGAGGGTTGTGTATATTTAAAATTATTTAAACCTGTATTATCTCAAATAATCGTCAGTGGTGTGTTTAATTGCAGCGTCGATCGTTCACTGCACCCTTTCGTCCTGATGTACTGGAACCCAACACCTGCATGTGTTCCTCCGCGCATGCGTAAAAAAGTTCGGTGGCTCCAGCTCCGCCGCTCGTCACCTTTGATCGGCGCAGAGGGAAGAGACGCTTCCAGGGGATTTAAACACGGTGAAGCTCCGGAGACAACGTCCAACAAGTGACGGGGGACACGGGGGACTGCGGGGGAAACTGTAACCAACCCCCCACATCTGCGGGGGGAACTCGTCGCGCAGGGAAAACGGTCACGAGTGCGCGGAAGTTTGTGTTTACTGATGTTGTGGTAGCTAGCTGGCTGGCCCTGTTAGCTTGTTAGCGAGGGAGGTGCGCGCTGCGTGCACGGCTCAGTATTTGCAACTTAACGAGCGAGTTGGGAACTCCAGTTGGGAACTACCATTGAAAACGTGTTCTGTTAAACAGCGCCTGTCTGTTTGCGTGGTTGCCAAACTCCTGTAACGTCAGTGCGGGCCACGAGCTTTGAATCTTGAGGGGTCGTGTCTCACGCGCTGATTCGCAGAGAAAGAAAACGCACGATCACGCATCGAGTCACGATCCCGCAGGTACAGCTCGCCGAGCCATTTCCGTTTACCCCCCTGGTACGAATGACAGATCAGGCTGGCAGCTCTGGACCTCTCGACCCGTCCTCCCCCATCGGACCCATAGTTCACAGTCTTCGTCCGTGATGGGCCCCCTGCTCGGCTGGTGAGACGCGTGGAAACCGATCAGAAGTCTTTTACCATGGGAGGATGTGTGGGGAGATACTGGGAGGGCTGGGAGGACACACAGAGCCGAGGGTCGTCCAGGAACGGTGGACGAGGAGGTAAGAACACCGTGTGTGTGTGTTTCCGTGCCATTTTAAGCATAGACCCTACAGGGTTAGGTGGGGTTCCAGGTACTATTCACGTTGTGGGGACCGAAATGTGTGTACAGAGTCACAAAAAGCAAGTCCTTATAACGTAAATACTCAAATGTTAAGATGAAGAAATGTTTAAAGATTCATGTTAGAGTTAGGTAACGGTTAGGCGACTAGTTACTATGGTTTAAATCAGTGCAAGTCTCCAGGAAATCAGTGCAAGTCAATTCAACGTCCTGTGAAATCACGGAGGCAGAGGAGGTGGAACTGCAAAATAATTGATCTATTTCCACTCCAATATAGTGATCCAGACACAAGTGGCATTTGTGGTCTGACGACTTGACACTGCTCAATTACACATATACTTAATATCGACACACACAGTTTAAATTAAAGTGCACAGAAAATACACAATGTGCAAACAAAAAGAAGAACAAACAAAAGAAAAAGTACTAGACTCATTCTTTCCACATGTATTCCACTACTGCATCTCAAATGACCACTTGTGCTTCGGTTTAACTTCCTGCCTCACCTTTGTTTTTCTGTGGGGAAGCTGTGACTGCTGGTAAACATAGTAAAATACAGTTTAAGGCAAAGCCATGCAGCTAAAGAAAACGGACCTGTCTGGTACGTCTCTCTGTCTCTCTGCGTGGTCAGAGAGACTTTTGCATTCACAATTCATTTCATAATGTCCCTGTGCGTATCAGCCTGTGTATACATAGCTTTAGCTTACGTGGGTTGATTAGATAGTGATCATATTGCACAGGTACAAAACACTGGAGCGCCTGCTGTAATAACATGCACAACTGTAAATAAAAAGGAAGGATGTTGACAGGCAGCTTTCTGCATTTTTTGATAGGTAGTCAGATAGCTGGAGACAGTTTTCTTGACAAAACACAAGTGAAGACCAGTGTGGAGACGGTGTGTTTGCTCCCTCACTGCAACCGTCTATTGCTCATTCCCAAGAGCAACATATCTTTCACAGTGACCTCTGAAGCCACACATGGTAGTGAATACTGTTGGGCTCCGTGTCCGAGCGATTTATCTGGTTTTTATGTCGAGAAAAAACAAAGCCTATCGGTGTGTTGACAGTAGCTCGGACTGCCTCGTCCCACTCACTGAACTAAAACACAACTGGCTTCCGGAACCAGAAGAGCTGCCACTGTAGCAAATTCATTACATTTTTAAAGTTTGCTCCCTGGATATAGTAGATAAACTCTGGTTTTGAACGACTTCTAAGTCTTTTTAACTGATCTAGAGTTCAGCATTACTCTTGAACTTGACAATTTAGGCTGCGAATATCAAATCAGTTAATCTCCTTTTCAACTGGTCAAGAAACTCGCTCACATCTGGCTTTTCTTTGCAGTAGAAATGAATACAATAAGCTTTAGCCCGTGTCAAATGACTCTGCCATAGACACCGGTTTCTATCGGCTCTGGCTCTGATTGGTATTGATGGGTTAGGGTTAACATGACACCTGGGTGAACACGCTAATTTCCTCTCATTCTTCATTTTGGCAGTTCAGACGCTGACACTGCCCCTGTTTTCTTTGTATCTTGCAAAGTGCAACTCTGGCAAGACAGCAAGGTGAGGGAGCTTCTCAGTGTCTGGCATGTTTGTGATGTCAAACATGACCAGCAGGGGAAAAAAACAGAAAGACAAACTCCTGCTGGAAATTAATCGCTCAATCACTAGTCTTTTTTAATGGGTTTACATGCGTTTGATTAAGAGTGTAAAAGAGGAATTACTCACTTCTCACAGGAAATCATACCCACTCACCAAATTTACTAGAACATGCATTCATGGTGAAGAGTGGTAATGAAAAGCTGCCATTTTTAGGGTCAAATAATGCATATTGTTGCTGAAACACACAGACTGAATTGTAACTCCTGTGTGCTATTTAAGCTGAGCGAGGTGTAGCATCCCACACCTGCCCGTTACATTGATTACAGTCAAATTCACCTACACTACACCCTCATGTATCTGATACTACACCTACAACAAGGCTGACAATTTTCTCACCCCACAATTTCCCGCCTCACACTTATCCCACAACAATAAGCCTCTTGTGTCAACTGCTATCTGGGATTGTAATATGGTAAGGCCTGTGAACAACAACACACTTCAGTGCAGGTTTGAACCAAGCAGGATGTAATGGTTATCACCAAGTAGAGGAGGTCACAGCGACTCCAGAGGTTGCTGATATGCCAATTATTCACACCAGGGATCCGAGTTCACGTCCATTACCTTCCCGGAAGATAACATTCTTCCAAAGATAAACACTGGTGAGCTGCCACATTTTGTTCTTTTACATTTGTCTTTGATAGTGACACATTGAGTTTGGACTGCTGCTTCAGCACTTAGCGAGAGTAAATGTTATATTTACAACCAGACTAAACTGAATGATGCAGGCGCCGCACAGCCTAGTTGGCAGACAATCTGAATTTCTGCATAGTTTTCGACCCCAGACAACGTTATCAATGATATTTTACATGACCTTAACAGGTGGTGTGACACATGGAAATGCATACTGTTTGTCGGATGATTGAAGGCTTTGAGCCTCACAGGTTTATGAATATTGTTCATAATGAAGTCACCTGGGATTGGAAAAAGACCATCAGCCTCCTCCCAAGTTGTAGTGAACATTGTTCGTAGGTTTATTAATTCAGCAGTTAACCAGCTATGTTATTTTATGCAAAAGTAAAGACTACAGTTACTTATTTCAGAAGATGAGAATGTCCACACAAGTTATTACTCTCGTGAAGTTATTTATTTTACCTCCCAGTCGGTAACTTTTTGGGCACAGGCCCTTCATACCTTATCTTCAGATCTTATTTAAATTTCAGCATATTTGTTGACATAAAGTTTCCTTCATAGTGACCGTTGAGGAAGCTTAGTGTCTATAATTCATTTAGTGTCAGGTTCAGACTGTGATTTTTTACTGATGCTAAGTTTTCATTTAGTCTTTTTTGCAGCAGGAATTGTCTCCAGTTTAAATCAGAAAGTCTGGATGCTTTCAAGATGGATTCAAGTATTTCGTCAGGAAAAGAACGAGACATTTTTGACCCCTAGCCACTTGGATATATCCTAGAAGGAGCATCTGATGTCAATTTCTAGAGCCGTGTATGTCCTTGAAAATACTTTTTTCCATCTTTGTTACTTGCCAAAGTGGCAAAACAGACTATTTATAAAGTCAAAGCCATGACAGCTGAGACTACCAGGGGTTTGTTGGTGTTTCAGGATAATATCCAAGCCTGATAGCTATCAACAGACACTTCCTTCTAGACCAGGCTCTGATCAAGTTGCATCATATCCCGCTGCGTCATTGTCTGGCTCCTCTAACAGGACTGCTTGACACACCCTCATACACACAGCCTTTTGAAAGGAACAGGTCAAATACAACAGAAGACAAATGTAGTTTATTTTCACAGTGTGTGTTAAGTTATAGTCTTAAAATCGGTGATTTGTGTTGAATTGAAATAGGTTCCACCGCTGTGTCACATCCCCTGAAGGATAAAAAGCTTTATTTGCCTGATTCTAAAGCCTGAAATGAACTTTGGTAGATCAAGGTTGAACACGTCCAAACAGTTGAGATAAATACTCTTTTAGAATGGGTATCTTTTTTTCAGGGGAATGTTCTAAAAAAATATGGTTATGATTAAGGACTTTGTCAAAGAACGTAGGCCGACTTCATCTGTAGTTGCAGAAAGATGAGTGTGGACATATTGTTGTGATAAGTCGACTCACTACAAGGATGAGACTGCGTATGGGTTTGTGTGTTTATGTTCTTGCGTGTCACACAGATTCACTCTGTTTGTTTTAAATGTACGACTCCCATCCTCTCCTGTGCTCCAGTGCATGATCGCTGATGTCTGCTATTAAAGAGGAACATAAGAAACGCCCCACAATTATCATTTACCTCATGTCAGGGGAATGAGGCTGTCAAACATCTTTACAGACTCAAAGTAACATTGTGTGTTATCTTTCTTTTCCTAGAAACTGGTAATTCTATAAAAAACATTGATTAACGTGAGTCGGGGATGGCTGTTTGGTGGGTTGTTCTGTGTGCTTGTGTCCTGACAGAGAACACAGAAGCCTCGCATATGATCCTGATACCTTGTTTATGACATGTTACGTTAACACTCACGAATACAACATGCTTCCCTGTAGCCTCGTCTCATGGCACCTGCTCGTGTGTCTGTAATGCATTTCTCAATGTCTCTGTTTCGTTGCCCTGCGGTCAGGTATGATACAACAGGACCATTCACTGACTCAATCCCTTTTTGTTACTGCCCAGTTTTTATTAACACTGTCCACTTCATTTCTATAAGACGTTACCTTTTTAGAAAATGTATTTCTAAATCTTGAGGATTTGTAGAGAGTTTAATTTTAACTTTAACATTGAAAATACAGTGAAGGTGCAGAATATACAACTATAAAAAAGTTCAAGCGAGTACTTTGGTTTCTCATTTAGCTTGTCAGCTCTTTAGAGTATATCCTCTGTAGATATCAGAGAAGGTGTCAGTGAGAGATAAACAGACCCCAGTCCGCCCTCCCTTTAGGAACTATCTCTATATAGCTAGAACCACAGCTCCCTGTCAACGCAGTAGTATATTGTTTTAACAATCACAAAAGAGACGACAGTGGTGGTCAGCATACAGTATTTTAATAGATATGTCAACATGATTTGGGATGTGTAAGCAAAGAAACTAAGTAGTAATCAGTAATAAGTTGTGAATGAAACTGAGCAGTTTTCACAAACCAAACAATCGGTCTTAGATCAACAAAAATATTTGAAGATAAATCCATAATTATTAGTTGCAGACAGTATTTTGAGATATGCATAGTTTATTCCATTAAAACTTTTGCACATTCTCCAGTGGAACTCAGACATTCTAGATATTATTATTACCTGTAGTTACAAGTATAAACAAGTGTATCACAAAAAACTTGTAGCCAGTATTCAAATGTACCTTATACATGATGGGTGCGAACACACAAATATTGCCACCCAGCCTAATGTTGTACGTGGTTCTACATTAGGATATGTCTTAGTATCTGGGAATATCGACCAAATTATGAGCGATATCACACTTCAGAACCCGTCACAACACACATCCTCTTATACTTGAGTAACAGTGAAGAAGCCCCTTTGCTTCAGTGCGGATTCACATTGCTCCAAGTGCTAATCCTACACTACTCCTCGTCCTCCAAATGATTCCTTCTGAGCTGCCAGCCCTATAAATAATTTGTTTAAAAGAAAGGCAACCTCTTGGATCTGTCCTGTCTCCTTCATACTCCTCTCCATTTTCCATCACTCCTCAGTGACAGACACCTCAGCCTCTCAGGCCTTTGTAAATAAGCTTCGACCTGTTTTAATACTTGATTTCAGATTTTTGACCTCATAAACAGAAGTGGCTGACAGTCAGCACTTAATAAATAACATCTCCCTTTATGGCACCGAACAACATCACAGCCTGTTCTGTTAAAGAGAACTAGTATGGTAAATCATTGGCAGAATGGGTTAAATTTTAATATGGGTTCAGACCTGTTACTTTCCTGATGCTAGTTTGTTTGTCTGTCTATACATGTGTGTGAGTGCGTGACCCTCAGTTATGGCCTCTACTTAAATAAGTGCTCTCCTCGATGTGCTTTGTGTTAATACTGAATGCTGGGAAACAGGTACGGTTACATGGATGGATTTAAGCTACACTTGCCTCATGCATATTGCAAACTCTGAACGACCTCCTAATTTTAGAATCAGATGACACGGTGGGGTGGGGTGGGATGTTCCCTGTCTCTGGTGTCAACCAGCATTTTTTTCTGCTAGCAGGTCTGTTTATTATTGCTAAGAGATATAAGCATTTATAAATTCTATGGGAACATCATGTTCATTAATCAATCTGCCTGTTTGCTGCATTCACAGGTTAGAGATTCACTCAGATCCATCCTCTCTATCCCCTAACATTCAGGCAAGCCTCACCAAGTAGCACACACTCATAGATAAGAGTTATCTAAATATGCCAGACTTTTTTTCCATCAAGATCCGCAAATTATTCCCTGGGAAATCTGTCTCAGAATGTTGAAGAAAGTAGAAAAATATTCTAGATCCACCTGAAAATTTGATTGGTTCTCTCTTGGCCCAAATTCCACCTATCCACCATGTTATTTGTAAACCTGGTCAGTAGTTTTTATATAATACTGCTAACAACAAACCAACAGACTGGTGGAAACAGTCTCCTATTGGAGGTAATACGATTTTTTAGCCATTAGTATCATTGTGGAGTGGGTCCCCAATAAAATTTGTTGTGTTTGTGACACCTCTGGGATACACACAGCACATGTTGGTTAAGATAACGACTTTTTGAAGTCATAGACATTTTTTATTTCTCCAATCTTCCATTGCAGGACGTAATGAGCCTCTCAAGAAAGATCGGCCCAAGTGGAAGAGCGACTACCCGATGACAGAGGGCCAGCTACGGAGCAAGCGGGACGAGTTCTGGGACACGGCGCCGGCCTTTGAGGGCCGTAAAGAGATCTGGGACGCCCTGAAGGCTGCCGCTGTGGCACTGGAGTGCAACGACCACGAGCTGGCCCAGGCTATAGTGGATGGAGCCAGTATCACACTGCCACACGGTGGGAATGGAACATGCACAGTAGACAAAAACATATACATGTCTGAGAGGGGCCCTTATAGACACAGTCAGTTAGATAAACCACTCACTGGAAATACCATGTCTACTCTGTGTATACCATACATATATATTCAGATTCACATGCACAGAAAAACCAACGGAACATAGGATTGTTTAAATTTGACAAAAGATTGTGCTTTTTTCCCGCGGCTTACCTTTTCTAGGTACTCTCGCAGAGTGTTACGATGAACTCGGGAACCGCTACCAGCTGCCCGTCTACTGCCTGGCTCCACCCATCAACCTCATCTCAGAACGCAGCGATGAGGACCCCAGCGACAGCCCCGAACCCACTGTAGCACCCAAAAAGGAATTCCAGCTCAAGGTACCATACCACACTGCTAAGACTAATATGTGTCTTTTGTCTTCAGTGTGAATGGGTACAATCATTTAAGCATGTATTCCCAGGTCCAATGACTCTGCATTAGTCACAGGTATTTATTGGCTCTAGCTCAGATTGGTTATAAGTAAATACATAAGCTGATGGACATGCTTATTTTTTTGGGCTGTGATGTTTTTCAGCCTTCTACTTGCAATGTAAAAGTGGGTTTACCCCTATTAAAACAAAAAAAAACTCTCTACTTTTTAATTTATTAGTTGTTTATAGGATGTGACAAAATGTCGTCTGGACCTAGAACATCTTCCAGAAGTATGACGTGTGGAGAAATGTTTTACTTGTTTGATAAAAGCAAGATGGTGTGCTGCGAACAGAAGACGGAGTCTTAGCCCAGGTATCCACTGTCTACACTGGAGGCCCCAAAATATTGGCTGTTGCCCTCTGAGACTAATTCTTCATGAGACGATAGCTGATGGGCTCTGAGATTGACAGCAATTTAACACTCATCCAATGGGTCCCAGCCAACACGTTTCAAATGTTTCAGACTTTTAGACATTTTAATCCATGGATCTAAAATGTGATGTCCACCCAGTATTGAATTGATACTGGCTGGTGTCAGATTGAGGCACATTTAGTAAACATTCTGGGATTGCAGAGCTGAAACAAAAAGGGAAGATAAACAAATGTATTATAATCTCATCTTCAAACACTACCAGGCAGTTCTGCAGGTTTTACTGTCAATTTTTTCTTTGTCCCCTGCAGGTACGACTGTCCACAGGTAAGGACCTGCGCCTCAGTGCCAGCATGTCTGACACCATCGGGCAGCTCAAGAAGCAGCTGCAGGCCCAGGAGGACATTGACGCCATCCACCAGCGCTGGTTCTTTTCTGGCAAGCTGCTCACGGACAAGACGCGGCTGCAAGACACCAAGATCCAGAAGGACTTTGTCATCCAGGTCATTGTCAACCCACAGGCTCTCCAAGCCCCCAAGCCGTCACCCACCTCACGTGAATAGCTAAGACACAAGCAGAGCAGAGGTGCCTCTGAATGCTGGATTGAAATAAAACTGTGGAGGTGCGTACAAAACTATATGAGGGAGAAACTCTTAAGTGCTGCTTTCTTTTATCTATCACGTGTCATTGTTCCTTTTTGTTCAGGTTGTGTTGGGTTGTTGTTTAAGTGAATCCAGTCACCACACTAACTCTGGAGATCCTCTTCTTGTCACTTTGAACCGTATGTTAATGAGCAGCCTTTTTAAACACAAACTGTGCACATCACGCTGCACATGCAAAGAATCTGCCTCTGCCCTCTTTGTCTGCACTAATTGTAACTAAGTGCCAATGGAAGAAATGCAGAAGTGTTTGTTGGTTCCGAAGCACATCTCTACATGGACGCTATGGACTCGACTCCTCCACAGACACAGGAGGGGAGGGCAGAGTGTGATCCCGAACGTTTCTTTGTTTTCTTTTGTTGAGGAAAAGATGTAATTTTTGAGCTTTTTTGCACATTTGAAGATTATTACTAGACTTTGTGGTAGTTTTATGTGCCTTCTACATGATGAAACAACAAGCGGTCGGTGTCCTGAAAGATGCTAGTTTTACCACTAGGCTAAGCCATCTGTATTTTTTTAGATTCAGGAACCTTTAGATTGACCCAAGCTATAACTGTTGCCTTTTTTGTATTATTTCTTCAATCTCTGCCGACAAAAAAAAGTTTATGTGTGTGCGTATGTGTGTGCGCGTGTATGTGTGGGCAAAAGGAAAACATATTTACCCACATGATACATGTCAGATTAATGTAGCTCTCTAAGACTAGACTGTTTTCCAGGTGCACAAGTCATAGCTTTGCAGTCAATCATATCATAGTGTCGAGGGAAATGGATGTTCCCCTGCAAAAATGATGGTCTTAAAAAGCTCCATTATTGACCACTTAATAACACCTGCCCCCCTGAACACTAGGGGGCACCAACACAGCCCTGATATAATCAGCTCTATCTCTTAGGCCCCCTCCTTTTTTTCTTTCTCCACCACTTGATGACCCTGTTTATTCTCCATATGGTCCAGTGTTTTGTAATATTTGTTCACCAGATGTCTGACTTTATTCACCAGCGTACAAATGATTGAGCTGGTTTGCTGGAAATGGCTGCCTTATGTGTGGGTGGGGGCGGATGAGCGTTTGTTAACCATATGAAGCAGTGAACCAAAACAATGAGCTGAAGATTTGAGTGTCTGTTCTCAGTGAATCCAGCAACACTAACAACTTCTTAATGTTACAGTCAGTCTAGTATTTCAAGGGCCACAACACTGATTTTAAATGTGATCAGCTTCTGCGACAGTGTTAGTGTTACCCTTAGAAACAGTTTTTTAAACTAACTCCAATGATGTCACAGTGATGTCATGGCATTTAATGTTGGAGCCAGAGTTTTTGATGCTTGACTCCCAACTACGGACTAAAAATGAATCACTAAATATCACAAGATCACTAGATATCGCCTTAAATTAAAAGATGAACTGCATACAGAGGCAGAATGTGACGTATTCATTCTGCTGCAGAGATCATATGATTGACGAGTCACCTCTTATCTAAATTAGAATTTTGCGGTGTGGAAACAACCCTGATGGGACGGAGATATCACTGCTTGAATAGCTCATGCGTGAGGTTTTGACTTGACTTGAATTTTTAGATCTGCAGTCTGACCTGCTCTGCTTCTGTTCTTCAGAACTGTGCTTCAGTTTATAGCTCAGAATAGACTTAAGAATTTAAAAAAATTAATTTAGCCTCATTGTAAAAATTCTCTGACTCACAAGTCTACAGCTCAATAAGCATTGTTTTCATTCACTGCTTTCCTCTTTTTAAGTTCATCCGAATCACCCATTTTTCTATTTTTCTATTTTATCTTCCCTTTACTAATAGTTCTTTAGGAGTTTTCTTACTTTCTTAAGCAGAACTTGAATAAGCATTTTTATCTGTATGTGCAATACAATAGACATAGACCTCATATCTTGTGTTTCTGACAGATTTCATAGAGCACCAGCTACGGTTATTGTTAAAATTACAAATGTTCACGCAGGTCAACGTGAGGTGTATTCTTGTCCGTCACCTCGGCAAAATATCCAATATAAATAAATATTCAAAATGATAAACACCTCACTATCCATTTTGTATTCCTCCCTGCACACCATCAGTCGTCATTGAGCCTCGGGGCAAAAGCTCTGCTGACGACTTTATACTAAAGCATCTCCTGTTGCGGCGTCCCTCAGAGTTGGACCTCTTTTGAAACAAAATGAAGAAAGATGGAGCAGTGGTCATTCTGTCATTTCAGACTCCATCTTACTAAATGTTAAAAGCCTGAGATGAGATATCCCCCGGTTACAAAGTTCATACTGCACTGTAGAGAAAGCAATCACTTTCCTCCTAGCAGCTCAACACAGTGTCACATATGCCGTCACTCAAATGCAGGTCAGTCGTTCCCTGATAAATGTGCTGTGAGACGGATGATGGTTGGATGCAGGGATATTTTACTTTGTCTTCAGCCTACCATGATGAAAAATGTAGCATAGCTTAATCTTCAAATTAATATTTAAAGGAGGTGCAAGTGTCCTCTACCTGCCAACATATCGAGCTACAACTAAACCAAAGTGTTTTTCTCAGCAGACATTTTGACCTGTGGTTGTAGGAAAAGCACCAGTATTACTGATAACACTAGACATGTTTCCATGGACACCAATATTCTCATATTAACCCAATCAAGCAAAGGGTTGGCGAGTCTACTTCAACCCCTCCACCTTGTTTTTTAAAAATGTTTTATTAAGTATAAAAGCTTGAGGCCTCTCGCACCAGCTCAGCCTGTAAGTCACGTCTCATCTTAGTGAAGACACCTTTGGTTCGTATAGCACATGTAGGTGCGGAGGTCACTTCAACTTTATGCACTTTTTTTTTTTTTTAATGAATTCTAGTTCAAGGTCCTCCTGTTAGCTTTCAACCACATCCTGTGGCCTTCCTCTGCAGTAAACTCCAAACTCCTGAACAAACTCACTTGTTCCGAAACGTCTCTGCTGAGAAACACTATCTTTTAAAAGAGACATCTGCATCTTTTCTTTATTCACTGATGCCCTCCATGTGCTGCAGATCCAGAAACTGCAGCAGGTAGAAAAGCAAATGGACCTCGATTATAACTCCAATCAAGATGCATTACGTCACTGTTTTGCACTTTTTTGAATGTATGTCATTTCCAGCACATTGGAACACATAACAGGATGTGAGTTCATGATTCACAATTGCATATGGAGCTGTTTATTAAACTGGTCACACAGTAAAAGCCATAATTGGACGAAACATATTTATTTTACACGTTTAACAGCAAATCATCATCATCATCACTGTCCTCTCCTTTAAGAACTCAATTTCCCAAAAGACCCTTCAGTTCAATCTTTTTGGTTCGACACACACGTCTCAACCACTCAGACAGTAATTGTTTTTCAAGTCTATATGCCTTAGTATGTGTAAAAAAAAAAAAAATCAGTATATAGTCATTAAAGAGAAAATAACTCATTTTATGAACATTTCCTGATGATGAATGACACCCACAGTTTATTCACCACTCGGCGTGTTCGTTTATATGCTGATTTCCTTTTTAAATCATGTTTTTAAACTGTTGAATAAAATTCAAACTATTGTTAAAAAAACTGATGACTGTTTTTTCTTCATTTGAATGAATGAAATCTGTGTTGAGAGATCTGAACTAAGTTACAGTGTGAGAATTCCAAAAGTCAGACCCAGCTTGGTGTCGACATGTTGCAGCAAGTCCTAATTCATCATCGCCACAAGGTGGAGCTCTTCGCTTGTGCAATAGTCCAGTGAGCTCAGGCTGCTGACACACACACACACACACACACACACACACACACAGAGCCTTGTTTGTGTAAGTCTCTAACATTTTCAGGCATGGATCAGATGATTTACAGTGTGTTCCTTGAAAGTGTGTGTGTGTTCGTTTTCCTCCCCAACCTGGATGATTAAAATATATGGAAAATTTAAATCAAAACAAAGTTTGTGTTTTGTCTTTGCACTGCATTTCCCAGCAACCACCTGTCAGTAAGAATTGAGGCGATTGGAACTTTCTTTTGATTGTATAAGGAGTTCATATTGGGGCCTTGCAGGAGGTCAGTATGATCATGATTAAAACCATAATTGCAAATGTTATATTCATTTTCTAATACTTTTAATGTACTGCTCATTATTACCCCCATGCTGCTGCATCCATCACCCTCCTGGTACATGAGGAGGGAACTTTTTAAGCTGTGTGACTCTTTCCCTCTTTTAGCCTCTGCAAATACAGTCAGGGTCTCTGGAGGGTTGTGGTGCACCAGGTCTGGAAAAAGCCCCTATTGACGGTGGAATTTCACAGGACGCACTGTTTGTGGTCGCTCTCCCAGTCATCCTCATTCTAAACTGTGTTCTGCACCAAGGCACCGACAGTCCCTGGATGACCCTGACGCCACAGCGGAGGGTTTAGACGGAGGCTCTCGTCTCAGGGCTCATTACGACGTCCCGGGCTCCTCCATTTAATTTAACTTTGGATCTCTGTCAATCTGTTTTTATGAAGCTCCCACATCGTGTGCGTCTGATTTTCTTTCCTCTGTGCAGAAAAACCACTGCAGTGGACGTCATAAAATGTAACACTAATCCTGATGAACTGCAAAGTCATGACTGGAATTTTATGAGATTACTTTAACAGAGAGAGCTCAAAAGTACAAATGGGCAAAACGTATCCGCTTCCAAAATCTACTGCAAATATTTCCGATTTATTTGCATCTACTGCTTTGAATAAACTTGTTTTGTAGCTTCAACCTGAAAAAACAAACCTGCATTGTCACTGAATTACAAAATGAAGCTACAGCCACTTTTGACTGAGTGTTCTTAGTGTGATGGAAATTCTGCCTCAGGAAGTGGTCAATTCCAAAATGAGAGGAAGAAAGAAATCTTCCAGAGGAAGCTGGACATCTACAGCCCCACCACACACCAGCAGTATGTTGTTTCATAGTTGGAAATTCCCATCTTATAGGCTGTAATTACAACTTCTGTGGGTTCCACTCCCACTGACAGTAAAGCTAATGGTCAGCAGGAGCGTTTGTAGTTTGCACAAACAGTATGAGAAGCAGCAGACTTATTGTACAGATACTCATGCTGGAGACAATATGACAAATATCTATATTATACCATTTAAATCTAATTATTATCATTATAGCTCTGAGTAAGAATGACCATAGATTGTGTATAAAGATAGACAACCTGACTGCTCCACATAATTGACAGCTGAGACAGACTAGTGATTGGTCGAGCGTGTGTCGATGGGAACCTGCTCCTGCGGCTGTTGGTGCTGTTCTATCTGGGAGATTTTGGCTTCGCTTCTGAATAAGAGAAAGTCCTGCTCTTTTCCATCAACAACAATTCTTCTGCAGGTTTCTTTTTAGAAGCGATGTGAGCGCGAGGAGAAGAGCTGAAGCGCAGGAAATCTGTCCAAGCAACACAATATCTGAGTGCGAGCAGAAGGTTCTAGCTCAAGCAGAGCAAATTGGAGCACAAGAGAGCTCAGGGTTTTGAGTGATAACACTGCAAGATCTCAACGTGAAATCAAAAAGACCAGGCTCTTGAAGTAAGATTGCACAAAAAAAAAAGACTTAGATAGAGATAATTGCCAGGTTTTATCTAAAGTAAATCATTTGACAAGAGATACACGCATTGAGTAAAATCTACATTTTATAGGTAGGTTTGATTTTATGCTGTGAGTGACTGTGTTTGGTGGAACATCCATTGACCAACATGCTTTGTTATAGCAAACAGCTGAGAGTAGGAACATTTTATAGATTTCAGAACACAAATTTGTTTCCCCATTTATCCTCCTGCCCCTGAAACACTGGCCACAGTTTTTAACTCCAGAATTAGTTCTAGTGCTGATCCCTTTCGATGAAATGTATTCTTGATGATACAGAACCTGCAGTAATCTACTGGGCTAACTTACAGGAACTGGAGTTCATTCATGAGTCACCAGGATGTTTATAAGAGGAGTGTGTGTGTGTGTGTGTGTGTGTGCGCGCTCTGTGGGATAAATACAGCAGATTGTTATGCAAAGCAGACTTTTGTCCAGAATAACAGGGGGACTCTATAACCAGAATAGATGAAGTGAAATCCTCTCAGCACAGAGCTTGTGAGGCTGCTGGGTGTGTGTTTGCATGTGCCTGTGTGCTTGGGAGGGGGGGGGCAGTTATGGTGGCTTTGCGGCTTATCCCTGAACTCCTGCTCTCACCGGGCTCTCATCCACTTACCTAACTCTCACCTGCTGGACACTTAAACCTCGCCTAATACGATGGGAGTCACCTAATACCTCCTACCGTAAAGTCCAACCGTGAACCTTGTCACCCCATGGCCTGACCGACCACGTCACAGCGTCCAGTGGGAGCAGAGCCAGAGAGTTACAAGACGAGGCAGGCCTCCAAAGCTAAGCATGGCGGTGGTGTGTGTGGGCAGTGGACACGTTAAAAATTTAATGGGAGCCAACCTGTTAACGTTGATGATACAGAATGAGAAACAATTTCCAAATAGTTCCAATAAGAGTGGCAGATTTTTCCAAACATTTACCATGAGAAATTAAAATTGTGTGTCGCTGTGAACATTAGTTTTCAACTTACGAATGAAGAATGAAGCCAAAATTTAATGAGGAACGAAAGTCATGATGCATCCAGACATATATTTGTTTTTACATGAGGGATAAACATGGGATATGTACATAAAAACAATGTATTGTAATCAATATGTTGATCCAATTGCAAACTAGGACCAATCAGTTTGAAAGAGTAAGACACTGAAACAATGTCATAAAATCATTGTTGATTCATCTTTCAAAATCGAAACCTACTTCAACAGTGAGTCAGTCTTCATCCAAGACTGACTCAATGCTAAATGAACATTAAAATGCTGACTGCAGCAACCAGGAGAACATGTGCCCTTTATAATCACTCTAGATTTCAAATCTTGAACCAATCACATTGTTTCTTCAGAAACTACAAAAACTACAAAACCCCTTTGAGTAACTTTATTGTAACAAACAGTATTTGTTTCTATTGTGTTTCTGTTTATTTTACAAAAA